ATGTTGATTGTCTAACCAGGTTAAAAGGAAGAATAAATTATGTTTTAGATATCATTGTACCATTGGTTTCTATGAGAACTAAAATTTTGAAATGCATTTTTCTCAGAACCATTTTCATGCACTGATAAGTTCATTTCTCGCTTGTTTATCAACCGATTTTCTTAATTTTTTCGGCAAAAAACATGGGAGGATGAATGCTATGCATTGGTATGAATTGTTGCTAATTAGAAGATATGAGTGACCTCTAAAAGTTGGTTTTAAATAAATTCACAAATTTTGGAACAAAAAGTCCATCAAAAACCACTTTTTGAAATTTAAAAAAAAAGTTTCACATATCACACTTTCATAACATTGGGTAAGACTGCAATATAAGCCAAAGTGGTTTAAACTTTACATGGGGCCTTTAAAGGTAAAAACTAGAAGTATTAAAAAGAAGCATAGAGAGGTATAATTTGATATAAGGAATCAGATTCCAAGCATCCAAAATAATAATTTTATGCAATTACATGGAATAAAGGTCTAACAAATCCTTCAACAACTATTCTGATATGATTACCAATATATTTGATATTGGGTCTACTCTTTCAGTATATGGTAGGGCATTGTGCTACAAGGCAGGGTACATAATATGTGAAATGCATAATTTGTGACATTATGTCTTGAATATCCATTCTTGCATTGCTTCTAAACCATTGCAGAATTAACATTTGAACCATCTACCTTTTCATATGGTACCATAGCAAATTCATAACTGGTCCCCTAGTAAAGCTAGGGAGTAAGAGCTAGGTCTGCCATTGTTATTATGATGGACTATCATAGTTTTCACTGAAATCAAAAGCAGTTGTTGAAACTAGAAGATATTGGTACATGTAGAAATGTTAAAATTTGAAGATATACCCAGGTGTATCGGTAACCGATGTATTACTACCAATTCTTAGCTGAGACTATATGACTCAGTATTGTGGTCCAAATGAGAAAGATTTAGTATTTCGATGTATCACAGGCTGGTATCGAAAGATTTGTCCGCTGTGACGGAGCATGCTATTTTTCATAAAAACACTAAGAATGCTTCACGATTTATTTTTTAACTCATATGTTTCGTTATATCAAAGATAATTACTTACTCCATGCAATGGATATATCATTTGCGTGTAACCTTCACTTCTGTTTGAAGTCCAATAACGCTAGGAGTAAAATCTATTGAAAAAGGCGCCAGAGTATCAAACTCTAAAATGTACCATTTATTTTTTAACTTTTTAATGGCATGATATAGTGACACGATAATATTAACATATGTTTTCAGCATATCTCTGAATGTATTAATGAGATATTAATGCATTGGGTCTTCTTAATTTTTTTATAAAAAATAATATTAATATATTTTGTCCGCTGTGACGGAGCATTTTCACAGTTCACATTTGCAACTGCTCCGTCACAGCGGACCAAAAAATTAAACACTTTTTTTATAAAAGAATTAAAAAGACCAAATACATCGACATCTCATTTATACCTTCATAGTTATGATGAAACCATGTGTAAATATTATCGTGTCACTATATCGTGCCATTAGAAAGTTAAACAAGAAATGGTACATTTTGAAGTATGATACTCCGGCGCCATTTTCAATAGCTTTTCTTCCCAGCGTAATTGGACTTCAAACAGAAGTGAAAGTTACCCGCAAATGATATATCCATTGCATGGAGTAAGTAATTTTGTATGGTATAACGAAACATATGAGTTAAAAAAATGAATCGTGAAGTATTCTTAATGTTTTTATGAAAAATAGCATGCTCCGTCACAGCGGACAAATATTTCGATACCAGCCTGTGTGTATAGGAGTCCTGAGCCCAAAATACAGGCTGGGTAAGTCATGGTCGGACCTATGCATCCAGTCTTGTTCCTAAACCATCCATCTTCCATTAAACATATTCTAAAAAACATCTGATGGGGTTTTGTCATTTCTGTGATACAAGAATATGATACATGTGACATGTCTAATTAACTCGAGGCACTGTAAGCTTCAGATTGCAAAACGTCATGTAATGTTTAATTTATGCATTCCATTTTAAGCATCAGAATTTATCTTGAAGCCATCACTACCTGCATTGTCATCCCTCTTTACTACTTTCTCGCTTTAACAATATCATTTCACCCCTATTGGGATAAATTGTTCCAATAACAAGCTATAAACTGCCAAAAGAAATGAAAGGTATAATAGTTTAGTTTGTTTATATTTGTTTGTTTAGTTTGTTTATAAAATATTAAAAAATTAATATCAATTTTACCCAGCCCACCTTGGGCACAGCAAGCAAGAAAACCATTAAAAGCACATCCAGTCTAAGTCATAAATCAACCTAAAATGCATATCAGATAAATGTTATTGTGGGAATGATATTTTATAAAGATGACATTGTATGCTCTGGCACCCTCACCACATGTAAAATATAATAAGAAAAACAGTGTCCAAACCAAATAATACAAAAATATCATTTTATTTCTATAGGAATGTGTAAAAACTGGAAAATATCAGAAGGTAAAAGACCGGAAAGTAATTATAAAACCTAAAGGAACATTTAAGAGAAAGGAAATAAAATATCAGATAGTAATCTATAATAGAAAATTAATGTCAACCCTATCCCCTCCACCATTTGCAAACCACTATCACAATGAACATTTCATGAAATAAAGCCACCGTCATTTCTTTCAAATGAAGGTTTTGCATATTGGGAAGTGTATATAAGACTAGAAATATAAAGTTGCTCGAAAACATCCATCCAGGTTCTTTAATTAGTCAACCATTTCCTTACTCTATTATGTAACTACATGGTCATGGGTGTGTATATTTCAGTATCCCGGTCCAAATGAGCAGGGACTTGCAGTCCAGCGACTTGCAGGCCACATCAACCCAGAATATGCAGCAGTTTGGATTGGTCCATTCTATCCCGTTACATTTCTTAATGCCCCACACACAATCAAGTACATCCTTAAGACATCAGGTACCCTCAATAACTAGGCCTATGACTGTTGATGCAGTTAAGAGCTTACAAATCCCAGCATACTTAACTAATGCACCATTCATTGGTTTGTGCAAGACCCGCTTATGTTGAGAGAGTTGGAAAATTGCCACACAGTTTTGTCCAAAGGGGTGCAACTTTGACTCAGTTCTTTGTCCTTGGATAAGGGTTTTCCCAATTCTACTGTTTGCCAGTGTGTGTGTCTGTGTGAGGGGATTGACTGTCTTGGTTGCTCACAGGGTAGAAAATTTGTTAAACCAACATCTTTTCAAAATCCCCACCCCTTCCCATGCAGATGTCTCATAAGCTGATGATTCTGTGGGCAAACTTATGGTCTAATGGTTCTGCATTGATGTTTGTGTTCTGTTATTTGTTCATTTCTGTTAGTGCTTAGCTTTCTATTTTCAGTTATACAAATTGTATAGCTTTTCCAACACAAGGCCTAGTACATGCCCTTGATACCTTAAAGGGCTGAACGAATTCAGTGTATATAAATATCTTTAAACTTTATTGGAAGCTTCATGTCCTGAATAACAAGGCTTGGCACTTTCCTGCTTCAAGTTATGAGAAAATCAACAAGATGTGTTTGGATCAATAGGTCCATTTAATCACTTTCTTTGTCCACACAACCTTAACACTATAAACTCTATCATCTAGAATTAAATAATCTAATTGCTAGGTGTTTTTTTTATCTGTCAATATTTTTGTTATGATAACTGTTGTTCTCATGTCTAATCATTCAGATCTTCAAAGCTATCCGTCATACTTAGTTGGTTAGTATTTCTTCTGATACTTCATATTTTAGGTGCTGATACCCCTCAGCTAGCATCCTAAACTGCAGTTAAAGCTAAATTTTATTCCACCATATACTAAAATCGACAAATGATGGTACTTAATTATTCCACAATAAAATAAATACAATTCAAAAATCGTGGGCGCCATAACCCAAGGTTGCGAGTTTATTCATTTAGAATAAGTACACAACTTCCTCAGCCTTTCATTTGGTAATTTCAATTGCTAGTACCATAACCCAGATGAGACAGGCCTTGCATATGAACGTGCAGATTTATGGGATGTTCCAATAAGTGTTTTTGGATGGTTGGGTCCATTTCATCCTGTACTGTACCCGCAACATCCAACAACTGTGAAAACTATCCTTCGAACCTCAGGTAGCAATATTGATTCTATATTGTCTATTAGGCATAGCTACATGTATAACAAAAGCATTTCCTTTGTTACCCGGGCGTAACTGAAACCCTTTAACCATTTTAGTGTGTAAACCGCATGTAGATCAGATCGCTTGTTTTGGGAGAAATTGATGAATCCTTGTGACTGGTTGTACTATAGTTGTTTTCATTTGACTAACTTGTACTCTAGTACTGGATATGTTTTAGAAACTATTGAAATGTTTGGTGAAATTAAAAAGAAAAAAACGTTGAACAATTTCTTCTCATCAAACCAAGATGTTGAAGCTTTGTGACCTGCTTAATGCCCCATGCCACTCCTTATTTATGCATCACATGCCCAACTTAATGTGTACTACAGATCGGACGTGGTGTACTGTAGATCAGACGTGGACGCCTTTTTTATTTTGGTAGAATAATTAATTTGGTAAAATTTCCAAATTAAGTAGCACCAAATTAATCCAATCTACATTGTCCATCAAATTATATGGAGACATAACTCAATTGGCTGTGCATTTGATGCAATGATGACTTGTTGTTTAGGGAATGTGCAGAGAAGCATGTCGGATGTTTTCTTCATTCATTGGAGTCCTGGGAACTGGTTCACATTTATAATTTCTTCATTTTGATTTTGACATATTTCAGAAAATATCACAATAAATAAATAAGAAATGCTCATTCTTTGTTTTCATTATAACATATAATAGAAATAAAGACCAAGACCTGTCCATTCACTAATGGGGTAAAAATATAGCATTTAGTCTAAATAACTTGATGATATATTTTCATTTATATATTCTAGATTTTCTTTCCGGATGAGTTCATGTTGGCCAATGAACGAGCTAAACTAAAAGACCTTCCCTTAATTGTTGCTGGCTGGTTTGGGCCTTTCCATCCTGTCATTGCCCCTAATCATCCTGACACTATTAAGTCAATCCTTCGTACATCAGGTAGATATACAACTTAGCTCCCCAGATGTAAATTAAGTGGGTGCTGCACCCTCTTTCGAATTGAACATTCATATCAGAAAACTCATTTGCCCACACTTTAAAAAGTTCTCTGTGAGGGAAAATCATTTAAATATAATATTAATGTGAATAATTGTGAAATTGAGAGTTGCACCCACTTAAGTTTCACGGGGAGAAAAAGTACAAAAGGCGTGTGCTTTTATCATATTCATAGATGTAGGCAATGTGTTTTTATTGAATTCATGTTCACCCACATGTGTTGTAATACTAGTTTCATGGTTTATTTGCATGGGTTGTGTTGTGCTATCATCCACTCATCTTTGAGTTCTGAACTAAGCGTCACATTATACGATTCAAATGTTTTGATATTGTTCATGTTTTGTAAACCCTACTTCCTTTAAGCTTTGATGGGTTTTTGCCTTAGTTTGATCAGATTTGAGGAATCTTTCATGAATCAATCAGTTGACCTCTTCTGATCACATTAAAACCTTTAGGCTCAAAGCACTATGTGATACACTCAGTCTGTAAACCTAAATAATAATATATTTCATGAATAATGTGACCGTTTGTATAATATTAAATTACTTATATAACATGTAATCATGCACTCATATGAACAATGTCCATGATGATTGACACACATGAAAAAATGTGACCTTTGGGATATTAGATAACTCCTATAACATGTAATCATTCACTTGCGTATCCTATGCTCATCACATCTGCCTTTTCACTTAATATTCACTATTTGTCACTGTTTCTTTGATGTTAGAACATTGGGTTGAAAGCTAGAGGAAGTAAGAATGAGTGTGGTGGCCTTGTACATAAAGTAATAAGGAATGTAATCATGTTAGTTGGCCTTGGACCTAATAAAGAATGTGATGATGTGAGTTGACCTTGCACATACTGTAATATACTGTAATAAAGAATGTGATGATGTGAGTTGACCTTGCACATACTGTAATAAAGAATGTGATGATGTGAGTTGACCTTGCACATACTGTAATAAAGAATGTGATGATGTGAGTTGACCTTGCACATACTGTAATAAAGAATGTGATGATGTGAGTTGACCTTGCACATACTGTAATAAAGAATGTGATGATGTGAGTTGACCTTGCACATACTGTAATAAAGAATGTGATGATGTGAGTTGACCTTGCACATACTGTAATAAAGAATGTGATGATGTGAGTTGACCTTGCACATACTGTAATAAAGAATGTGATGATGTGAGTTGACCTTGCACATACTGTAATTAAGCATGTGATGATGTGACTTGGCCTTGTAGTTGTACGTGGAATCTGTAATATGAGATTTGGACTTGTGTGCAAGAATGTCATAATGTGATTTGGCATTGAACAGATGGTATCTGTAGTGGTACTGTGACTTGGACTTGTATTTAAGGATGTCATTATTGGACTACATAGTGTCTATAAGACTGCTTCATTCATCTTAAATGTTAACCGTATAAAGATACAGCCATTTGCCATCCTAAACAATTATTCAAGATGAAATTACTCATTATTCATTTATAAACAACAGCTTGACAACATTGCAAAATAAACAGTACAATTTAAAAGTTCTAAGTAAATTAAGTAAATTATTGGTTGCTGAAATTGAAGTTTTACCCAGATGACTCCAATCAAGGCTTTGGTATACTGACGTTTTCCATTCGTCCAATCATAGATTCGCCAGACCAATATCTCATCCCTCATTCATTGCTACATATGTGTTAGATGTTTGATACTGAAATGGTCAAATGTGAATGGGTAGTAGTTTCTGCTGAGGTTGTTTTTACTATTATATTAATATCTTACCATGAACATTGGATTTATGTACATGTACCTGTGCTCCAATCTATAACTGCAGCCTGACAGATCTGTATGAAAGTTATAGTTAATTTTGATAATATAAAGATTCAAGAGAGCAAAGACTGTTACTTATCACATTTAAAAAAAATGAACCCATATTATGTTAAGTTGGCTTTGACCCAAGAGAACAGGCAAATTATAGTAAGGATCACTGAATTATGCTCCTCATGATTTTTGAATCACTAATTTATGAGCAGATACATGTAGTGTTCACCATGACCTACCCATCATAGTTGTGTGTATGTACATTAGTAAACTAATACCTTATAACAATATATGTTGAAAGTTGTGTATAATTTTTTCCAGTACCAGAATATATGTAAGCTAATAATGTCATATTAGGGTGAATTACAAAGCTCTCAAAATATCAAAGTTACAAAAAACAACCAACCAAATAACGGATTCAACAATAAACCAAACAGTGTCAAATGACCTGCTTTACACTCCAACCGTTCAAGAACCACTTTCACAATAAAAAACACTTGTTCCACATTGTATTCCTGCAGCCTTTCCACTATATAACAGTATCTGGGCTTTTCCCTAACATAATGTACTGCTTGATATGTACTTAATAGTAGGTCTGCTTTATCCAATCCATTATATTCTGTGATCTGTCATCTCACAAGTTCCTTCTAGGCTTTCCTTGATCTGGCTTTCTCCAATGCTTTTTCAATTTTAATTCACAATATATTTACTTACATTATATTTATTTCATACATGAGTTAATATATGTGGATTGATGAAAAAGATTAATAACCACGACTGCTTTTGACCAATGCTTTGTGTAACTAACAGCTTTTCCTTGGTTTATTTTATCATATTCGTTTAAGACTTTTTGTATTCATTTACTGTTCAATAATGTATTTTAAAAATGTTTTAATAGTATTCAATTAAGCAAAGATATATGTCTATAACTTTATTATTTATAATTATATCATTATCATACTTGCGAGTGTAAAGTTATTACTAATCTATTTGGTAAAGGAGTGGTATCGATATGGAGAACTTTTTGAACACATGTTTCTCTTAAACCAAACATAGAAAATCTAAAAAATTATCACATCGTCAATTTAATGGCCATCTTTTGAATGGTAACAATATAATTTGAAAAATATAAATATACTTTCATCTATATTATTTTAGAAAACACATCAAACACTTGTTTTGTTCTTGGTATCATGTCTCCAGAGTGAAATAAAAAATCTTTCCGAATCTCATTGGAACAAAACGACATAAACACAACATGTTTAGGTCTCTCAATATTGTAATTGTACAAAGGAAATTTTGGTTGATTTTAAAAAAGTATCTTGTTAATGAAATTAAAGGTTTATCTTGATTTTTATCTATTGTGGGGGATTTTGTTTTAATTTTTTTGAATACTTTTTTAAAATCAACCAAAAATTCCTTTGTATAACTATAATATTGAGAATTCTAAAAACATGTTGTATATGCTATTTTGTTCTAACAAGGTTTGGAAAGACATTTTATTTTATTCTCAAGAATCAGTAGAAAGGAGCAAAATCAATTGCACTAAAAAACAAAAAATGTTAACAAAAACAGTTCTTTAAAATATTTGTAAATAATTTTCGCATTAAATTGTTGTCAATCAGTCAATATTACATAAGATACCGTGTTTTTTACAGAATGTTGAATGTTTTCAATGATTGGTTTAAGAGAAAACATTGTTGAATTCAGTTCTCCATATCGATACCACTCCTTTATTTAAGGACAAGATTCAGAAAGACTGCACACATGAATAAAAACTAAATGTTTTGATAAATCTCAGCTTTAATTTGTTGAATTAACAGTGTCAAGGTTGAAATCATTTTGTGATTATACTCGTAGTACATGGGTCCATTTTGAAACTTGTCCTTGAGATAATATTTTATTCAGCAAAAAATTAACTTGTACTAATTTATTCCCAGAGCCCAAACCACTCACATTTGGGGGCTATGTGACAGCTCTCCCTTGGCTTGGAGATGGACTTTTGATAAGCAAAGGAAAAAAGTGGCTCAGGAATCGTAAACTTTTGACACCTGCGTTCCATTTTGATATCCTGAAACCATACATGAAAGTCAACAATGAAGCAGCTGACATTTTGCTTGTGAGTAGAACTTTTTTGTTCTCAAGGTTGTTGGGATTTTCAGATTTTTCTAGCAACTAAATTTCCCATTAATCTAATTAATCATTATCTCATTAAATTGTATCTTTATACTCTGACAACAAATTTATTTGACTACAAAATGGTGCAATGTAAAATCTTAGAAGTACTAGAGTCATAATTATAACCTTTGTAATGCGGATGTATTTGGTATTTCAGAATAAACTGGATGGTTATTCAAAAAAATCGGAAACCTTTGAAGTGTTCAATGCGATCAGTTCTATAACACTGGATATCATACTAAGATGTGCATTCTCTTTTGAGAGCAACTGTCAGCTACAAAAGTAATTTTTTATTCTGTTATTCATTCTGTACAAACTATGTGACCTCGGTGTTAAAGTGTAAACATTTAAAAGGTATTCAAATAGTTAGAAAAGGATGAGAAATAGCATAAAATGAACCCCACCTTTCCACATATAATTTATTTGACATCCAAAAAAGAAGTGTAGGACAGAATGTTAACTGTAGCAGACTAGTGATTATGTCAACATGCTTCATAGCCCTTTAGCTGCATTAAGACAAACTCCGTTTACTGACTCATTTTCTCAATATTTTATGATTGATGGAAATTTATATGTAATGTTTTTGTACTGCTATCTCATTTGATTTGTTCTGTTTGTGTTATGTTAGTACTATTCGTTAAACATTTAGATAAATATGAATACAGTATTTTTACAGTATGCTGAATTCATAGACAAATGTTATGAGATAAAGTACACTGTACGCTTCATATTTTAGATCTCATCCTTACGTTACTGCTGTTAAACAATTGGGTGATGGAATGGTATACAGATTATTGTAAGTACATGTACACCACTTTGAGGCATACATGTATCCAACTCAATTTATTCAATTTCTTTTCTTTTGATTTAATAGAGTATTTTGAATATTTCTGACAGAATATAAATCTCATTGATTCCATAATACTTTATTCCATAATACTCGTAACACCACTTGTTAAATTCCACTATGTATGAATAATTTCAGACGCCCATGGTTATGGAATGACTTTATTTACTTTAACCTCACATCAAGTGGACGACAGTTTCGAAGGAATTGTGATTTTGTACATAAGGTTTCAGAAGATTTGATTGCCAAGAGAAAGAAAACTCTTGTAAGTTAAATGCATGAGGCACTCTTTTAAAGTCTTTCTAACATTTTTATCAACATGTAACATATAAGTATAATGCATAGGAAATATTCCTTTTGATCATATTAGCAATTCAGCAATATTTTTATGTGTACTTTTTCTGAAAATATGAAATTTGAAAAATATCCCAATTTTCTTCAAAAGAAATGTGTCTTGTTTTTGTTTAATTTATGTAATGTTTGTCATGCTCTCTGATTACAGGAGGAACAGGGAGTGTCTGCTGCAAAGGGAAGGTATCTAGACTTCCTTGATGTTCTGCTGACTGCCAGAGATGAAGATGGCCAGGGCCTCACAGACAGAGAGATTAGAGATGAAGCTGATACATTCTTGTTTGAAGGTAAAAATGGAACTTTTTATTTTTTATTTATAAACTACATGAACTGAAATGTTCATTGAATTTTTCACATTTTACATATTAATTATACACACACAATTAGCCTCTCTTAACTCGAGTTTTAACACAATTGTCCATTTGTCACTCCTATGCATCCTATTGTGAACCTATGACTTGTTAAAAACACAATGTTTTTTGGTCAATTTATGACCATTAGGGTTTCCGGAAGAGATTTAGCTGGGTTGGACAAAATGTTAGTTTGCGGAAAAAATAATATAGGCTAATTAGCAAGGCCATTATTGAGATATTGATTGTTTTCTATATCTTGCAATTTAAAAATGAAAGCAGCATAATTAGTTTGTCTAAACTTGTGTTTTCAGGGTTTATGAATAAGATATTGTTAAAATATACAAGAATAATTTATAAGATAGAGTGCCTAATTGCATATTTTAATTGCATATTTTATGATTGAAATATCGCATTTATTCAGATATTTTCTATATCAAGCTTGTAATACAATGAAAATTACTGACTAATTAACTAATTAAGGGTTTCTTAATTGATTTAATTGTGTTGCCAAAAAAAACTAATTTCGGGGAAATTATATATGCAAATAAGGGCAGCCATCATTGAAATATCTTACATAATTTAAAAAGTAATAATGATAGCATCACAATTGTTGTGCCCTTACCCGTGTTTTTAGGCTCAATGAATAAGATAATGTAAAAAGATTCAAGAATTATTTATTATATTTAGATGTACTACATTATATGCAAATTAGCCAAAATGTTTTCAGGGTCAGTCAGGTTTACGGTAATGTTAAAAGATACAATGATAGCTTTTTAGATATTGTGCATGTATGCAAATTAGCATATGTTTTATTGGTATTTCGCAATTATTCAAAATATTTTATTTATCAAGCCTGCAGTACAAAGGAATGACTAATTAGTGGTCAATTAATTGGGTTGCCAATTATTGAATTTCTAACATATCTTAGAAAGAAAAAATGATAGCCCTGGGACCTGGAGACCCATGTTTTCAGCGTCAATGAATAACTAAAGATAATGTTAAAATATACAAAAATAACTTATTATAAAAATACATATTAAACGCTGCATAGTAATAATAGGATTTTATTAGTACTGATGCCCTTTTAGGCCAAACGTACATCCAATATACAATTTTCAATAACAGTAAATATAGGCAATAAAGTAAAGAAAATTGGATTACATTCTTCAAATGACATATAAAATGTTACTTTGATATAAGAATCCTGTCTCTACCCATCATTAGATGCTTTATCATGTCAGCAGATTCTTTTAATATGATCCCCTCACTCGTCAATAGAAAAATTGTCTTTTGGTGGTCATTCATGTTTTTAAAATTACGACACAGGTTTTCAAGTTTTTCAATATGGGATTTTCTGATAAACTCCAATTTTTTACATTTGAATAAAAAGTGTGTTTCATCTTCTATAACCGAGTCCTTGCATATTTTACAAAATCGACTATTAAGATCAGTAATTGGTTTTGTGTATCGGCCTCTCTCTATCTCTAGATTGTGGGCGCTTATACGAGGGGTGATCCAAAAGTCTTGGACGCCACGCTCTTACTTTGCTATTTTCTAATCTAATTACATGAAACTTTCAGATAATAAAGATCAACATCTTAACAACTTTGTGTATAAGTTTCAACAGAAAATAATATATTTTAGCTACTTTTCTAAATAGTTTTTAATACCGGGTCGCAGCCACCCGGAACGGTATTTGAATATAGTAAATCACGTCACAACTGCTATAATATGGCAAATACTTTAGGTGCAGGTGCATAACCTAACACCATTCATGATATGAGAGAATTTCCGATTTTCAATCTGAGTGTCATCTACCATCATCATTTTCACGTATCAAGACCTACTTTTCAACATATTTTCCACGAATTTGAACACATTTTTCATACCGCTTTACCAATGAATGAAAGACATTTATGAAACCGCCATTGCTTATGTGATACAAATGCTGCTGGAGTGCCACTCTAAACCTCATCCAATGAGTAAAAAACATTTTCTTCCAACCCTTCTTTCAACTTCAGAAATGGAAGAAAATCGCACAGAGCCATATCTAGACTATATCGTGCATATGGTAGCTGCTCAAGGTCAATAAAAGTGAGAATATCTTGTAGTATACTTTGTTCCACTTTGATTTCTTTCATGTTCTCCATTTCAGCAGCCATCTTGGAGCAAAAATGATACCAGAATGAGGGTTGCTTGTCTGATGTCATTTTCTTAGAATTTGACATATACAGCCATTGTCATATATGCCATGATATTCAAAACACAATTAATTTTTTGCCTAATAACAAAGGAAGTAAACTAACATGGTTTAACATTCAAAATTCAAAGAAAGATAGTGGTCAAGACTTGTGAAACAAGTGAAATGGCGGGAACATTTAAGGCTGAAAGTTGTCATGTGCGTATACCGTTCCGGGTGGCAGGGTCCCTACATTAAAAACTATCTAGAAAACTACATCAAATATATAATTTTTCCATGAAATTAACACACAAAGTAGTTTGGTTGTTGGTCTTTATTATTGAAAAGTTTAAAGTAATTTTATCAAAAACCAACAAAATTAGAGCAGGGCGTCCAAGACTTTTGGATCACCCCTCGTACGTAATCTAGTTAAATGTTTAGCATTTGAAAGTGTCGTTTCTGAAAGGTAGTGTTCAAATCCAAAGTGCGATTTTAGTTGTTTAAATAATCTAAGTTTCCCCCCATTCCCACTTATCAGATTCTTCCAATATACTTGATATCTCTCTATTAGTTTCTTTTTGACTTTAATAGCAAGCCTATTTGTGCTCATCTCTATGTTTACCCTATCTTCAAGATTCAATTCATCAGACATTTTTATTTTAATATGGCACAGTATATTTTTGAGTTGTTTGTGCCATGTAAATGTGTTATTTGTTAAATCAAGTGTTTTACTCATAATTAATGAATGGTTTAGTAAACTCCCATTTGAACTCAACTCTAAATGACCGAGGTATTTGATTTGTCTTTTTATAATATCAACTACCAAAGGTATTCTTCCCAATTCTCCTCTTACTGCCATGTTTGTGGCTTTTCTATGAACCCCGAGAACATATTTTTGGAACCGAATATGATTGTTTTCAATTAAAGCACTTTCGTATTTCTGTTCAATATCTCGATTAGTTTGACAGTCACGCTTGGTATATATATCATTACACCATATTTCCGAACCGTATAAAGCGACGGGTTTGATAAGTTGATCATACAATTTCATTTTCAGTGAAGACTTCATCTCTGTGCCGCTTGTCAATTGATAAAGTTTAAACATGGCTTTATTTGCTTTTTCTTTTATGTTTTGTTGGGCCGGTTTAAAAGATCCCGAAGCACTTAAGACAATTCCCAAATATGTATACCTTTGAACATTTTGTATATTCTTACCATTTATTTGAAATCGTTCTTGGCAAACTTTGCCACATTTCCAGAATTTCATAATTTTGTTTTGTCAATGTTAATTTCAAGTTTCCAGTCATCACAGAAGGATTCAAGAATGTTCAGTTTTAGCTGCATTCCTTCTTTACTAGTATCAATATATTACCGTATATTATACCGTATATAGTACCGTATATTATACGGTATGCATGTTTAGCATAATAAGAGATATCAAACGTTTTGTATGATGAAATTAGATGTGTGTCATCACCAATAGTGACAAATAAACCAATAAATTACTTGATTTATCTAGGTGTTTAATGTATAGAAAAATAATATAACATGAAACAGATCCCTGAATCACACCATGAGTGAATAATCAAGTATGATTGAATTAGACACTGTGTTGGTGTTCTTAGCTATTATACCATCATTTGCATATATATTTTTTTCCCCAAGGTTGCCCTTTGTCCAACCCAGCTAAATCACTTCATAAAACCCTTATAATAGTGATTCCACAATAAAACATCGTGTTTTTACAGATTCAAAAGTTCAGAAAATGACACATCTACAAGTTTATTTGCAATTTTTGTAGACTGTGTAACAGCTTGGCTAACAGGAACTTTCCTTCTTTAATGTCCCAATTTCATAATTTCTGTTTACCATCAAGATGGTATACCAATTTTTGCGATACAAAAAGGTACTTACATGTGTTTGCAGGTCACGATACAACAGCAAGTGGTATATCTTGGACACTCTACTCTCTAGCAGAGCACCCTGAACATCAACAAAAATGCAGGGAAGAAGTCCAGGAAATTCTAGCAGGCCGAGACAGTGATCATATTACATGGTAGGCAAAAAAACATCCTGTTATCAAATGTTTTATTTAAATCATACAAATTTACATATATATCTGTCCCTTTCTCTAAGATAACTAGTGTTCTGTACATACAGTTGTAAGAAAATGTGTGTAACATATTGCTCAAACATATTTTTACTATAAAACCAGTGTAAAGTAAATTTTTCTGTTACCAGCTGGAAGATTTCCCAATTGTTTAACAAATTTTGATAAATTGGATTCAGGAGAAAATTACATCTGCTTTTTGAGGTTTTTATACTGTAGAGTTTTTCACATATGTACACAGTCAACATTAAGATTAGGATTCATTGATATAATTTTTTCATATCTCACAGGGAAGACCTGCCCAAAATGAAATACCTTACACTATGCATTAAAGAGGCCCTTAGGCTACACACCCCTGTCCCTTTCATTGAGAGACGAACAACAAAAGATATGGAAATTGAGGGGAAGTTCCTACCTGCTGGCTCTGTCATCAACATGATGCTCTACAATATACACCACAACCCAACTGTGTGGGAAAATTCCATGGTAGGTTTGCGAGGTGTAAGAATAAAAGATTATGCCCCCAGTGATGATGGGATAAGAATTGTAATAAAATCAAAATTCCTGTAAATTTATGGAAAATTGGCTAAGTCAGAAAGACAGTAAAATTTAATACTGTGGTATATACATGTAGATTGTAGATGTAAGACCCGTCATGAGAAATGTCAATTTAAACACAATTATCAAAGGAAAAAGAAATAGATTCAAAAGCAATTAGAAAGAACAGTTTCTTGGGCTATATGATGAGCGCACTTGTGAGGAATATATATCTTTAACTGTAAAATATATAGTATGTTATTTCTAAATTTCTATGGCAAAGATTGATACAAATGAATATTGATTTTATACTAACTTTCAGGAGTACAGACCATCCAGGTTCTTACCAGAAAACATGAAATGTATGGATAGCTATGCCTTCATACCTTTCTCCGCTGGACCAAGGTAACAAATATTGCAAGACTTTCCTGATATTGCCACAGTATTTCTCACTGGCCTTTGTCTGAAAATGGCCAGCAGAATTCCGATATTCTGAGAATTTGAACTATGATTATCTACTCAAAATATGTGTCCATTAAGCAATTTTGGGCAGTGAGGATTAGCACCATTTACCTCGGTAATATCACACATATTGTATATAGGTATAGCAGTTATCATTATACAAAAATGTGGATTAACTTTTCCACTTAAAATATCCTTGTATAGCTGCAAAATACTTGAATGACCCACTTGTTCGTCTATGTCTGTTTGTGTTTTCCTAAAACGGTGGTACTTTTAAACAGGTCTTGTTAAGTTATTAGAATGCAGAGCGTCTGAGTCTACCAGATGAATCATACCTGTTGATAAATGATAACATGTTGAATAAAACGTATGTTGTACTTGTAGAAACTGTATTGGACAAAACTTTGCTATGCATGAGATGAAGGTGACTATTGGCAGAATTCTAAATAGGTAAAACCCATTGAAATCATTAAGATTAAAGCTAGAGGTAGAAAGTCTGACAAAACTACAGGATTTGATATGTTCTAAGGATAAATTATTCTTTAAGTTTTAATAGTTTCAGTCATATTTGAGGAACAACTTTCTAGCAGTTTTTAATATTGTAAGGCTAAGAGGGGTTTTACAATGTCAGTTGGGTTTAAATGTGTAAGCTAAATAAAGATTTTTCTTACAGATTTCGTTTGGAGCTGGATCCCAATCATAAGACAGAACATGTTATTTCGGTTGTCATGAAGACAAAAGATGGAATGATGATGAATGTAACCCCAGTGGACAAGAAACCATCAGAAAATGATGTACATGTAAATGGTATGATATGAATAGTCACTGTTATACACAGTGCTAGAACTGTACTGACTAACATGTGCTCATATAAAAGGCAGTGTACATTTACTATATACTTATGTAACAGACGGAAGTGGTGGCGTTTTGTTATAGTTTTCAAATTTTTCGTAAACAGTGTTAAGCATTCGGCGTCGGTAGCCGTGTTAAGTGTCTGTAACAAATGAAAGGCGGTAACATTTTGCATGGTGATAATGCCAAGTGTTTTGGGATTATACTAGCTGGTGAAATTTTTTACCATGTCTTGCCAATTAAAACGAAGTTTAAGATCAGCACTATATATCAATTTCAATAGTTTTACCATTATATCCGTTGTAAATCTAGTCAAAAGTCAAAGTTGGGCCTCTATAAGTTTCCCTGTTTTAACTGTATCACAACTAATTATTTCTGCTACCCTTGAGTAAATTTATATTATGTAACGACATCATGCAAAACGGGACAAGCTAAAGTATGGCATGTGTTATGTAAATAAAAGTATATGAAATAAGTAAATCGTAAACAAATATGTTGAATTCCCAATTCCAACAAATACATGTAATGTGTATTCATAGTCGTGCAATTCAAACCTCTGTCTATATCATTAGATAAATTCTGGAATTGTATATAATTTGTAATGCATTTACTTTCAGGATGTGTCACTCAGAATGAAGCATAAGGGATTTTTATTTTGAGCACATTACAATCAATCTACAAACTACTAGTCTCAGAAAGAAGATTTCCTGAAGTTGTTTTTATTAATTTCGCCCTTTTGAATTTGGTTTATTGGAAATAATTTTCAGAAGATCGGGATCATAACTTGCATAGAGGTGCTATTCACATAGTTGAACACTCAGGCAATGAGTGTTATACTATCAGTTATCACACGTTTCAGCATGTGATACAGGAAATATTCCACGAAAGGTAATATTGTATCATCCACGAAAGCGAAGCTTGAGTGGTGATACATTGTTACCCGAGTGGAATATTTCCTGTATCACATAAGCTGAAACGTGTGATGACGATTTTATCACATGTCTAGGAATTTTGAAGCATTTTGATTTGGTCAGTTATGATTGTGTTCAGTACCACGTGTACTTCTGGTAACTATTATAATTTTTGATTTCGCTTTGAAACAATATGACGTCATACCGTTGTATTCGTACTTGTTTGTGAAATAGTATGACGTCATATTGTTTTCCTTAGCTAAAAGTGATATAATCAGTGACGTCACATCGTTGCTATTGATCATCACTGGTTGCCTCTAGTAACGTGTAAGACGGCCGTGTGACACGGGAAAACTCACACGGTAATCAACCAATCAGATTACTGGAATTTTACAGAGCATGTGATAATATCAGTTATCACACGTTTCAGCATGTGATACAGGAAATATTCCACGAAAGGTAATACTGTATCATCCACGAAAGCGAAGCTTGAGTGGTGATACATTGTTACCCGAGTGGAATATTTCCTGTATCACATAAGCTGAAACGTGTGATGACGATTTTATCACATGTCTAGGAATTTTGAAGCATTTTGATTTGGTCAGTTATGATTGTGTTCAGTACCCCGTGTACTTCTGGTAACTATTATAATTTTTGATTTCGCTTTGAAACAATATAACGTCATACCGTTGTATTCGTACTTGTTTGTGAAATAGTATGACGTCATATTGTTTTCCTTAGCTAAAAGTGATATAATCAGTGACGTCACATTGTTGCTATTGATCATCACTGCAAGGAGGATTGGCTCCCAGAATGCAACACCGATATTCTGCAAAACAATCACCTAGCGATAGCTTTGTTGGAGAGTATCGGGTCATTCTCCATGCAGTCGTACAAATTATACAGACACGAATAGCAAATGACGCATGCGTGGAGATTAAAGAATATCGAGTTGGAACCCTGGCTTCCAATCCTCCTTGATCACTGGTTGCCTCTAGTAACGTGTAAGACGGCCGTGTGAGACGGGAAAACTCACACGGTAATCAACCAATCAGATTACTGGAATTTTACAGAGCATGTGATAAATGTAATTATTCCAATCATACACTTTTATTCACTTGGGATTTTGATGAAAATGTAAATTTGTAAGTATACTTAAAATACTATACATCAAATTAAAGCAGGTGCCGGATTAAGAAAAATACAGCAACTGACTGTAAGATAATGGACCCCTGTGAGCTGACATTCACAGATTTAGAGGACTTAGATTCCATTGTATATAAGTATAACTGAATGCAATTTACACAATGCAACTTTGAGTATTGGAATATACTGTAGGAGCTGGAAGTTGATTAACATTTCACTTTGGGTTAAATAATGCTTTGCTTTGAATTGCAATAATAATTGTAAGTATGAGATTATTATAAATTATTGTAAATTAACTCTACTGTTAAGCATATATGACACATGTGATGTTTATTTATGTATTCTGTATATATTTAAAGTGAGATTGTTTGTGAATAAATATGGATATCAACTTTTAACAATAAAGATATTTTGATTTTCTGAGATGAAGTATGAAGTTGCTTAATTGTTAGAAAAAAAAGCCAGATGTGATCATCTCATTTAGATTTGCATAGCAACATTGTCTAGATATTAACGTGATTTACAGTATTCTTAATGAGGTGATAGTAGTACCAACGGATAGCTAAAATTGTATTCCGATTGCAAGGACATTCATAACAGGTAATCTTTTTGAATTACGAAGCGATTGTATAAGTTATTGAATGATTTGAAGTGCAATACAGGATATATTCTGCTCGAGAATTCCGTATTTGAACGAGACGAAGTCGAGTGCCAATACAGAATATCGAGACAGAATATATATCCTGTATTGCACTTAAAATCATTCTATAACGTTTCTACCGTGTGATTCTCTGTATTGCTACTGAGATTGTCCCCTCCGTATCAATATTTTCTGTATTGCGACAGAGATGATCAACGGGGACAATCTCAGTAGCAATACAGGTTGGCACAGCACAAGAACTGACCAATCAGAGGGCTTCATTTTACAGATCATACGATAATATAATTTATTGTTAGCCAATATCTAGAGTAAATATGTATTCGAATTGACAGTCATCAACGTTTTGAACATCTTCCATCATCACAGGGTTCTCATCAACCATTTTATAAGAAAGCTATATTTAGTCCAGTTGTCGGAGTTCGATCAAGGTATCGGTTTAATTAGATTAAATTTTGATAAACTCTTTCACTTTTTCCACCAAGACATCAACCATTTGATTAATGGAGAACAGTCTTACACTGAACGAAAAGCTTTGGTCTGGTCCAACCACAAACGATGCCACCATAGTTCCTTCGAACTCTCCACTGTTCGCTTCCGGTAGATTTACTTTGAATCTTAGACCTTTGATGTTTATCAATCCACCAAGTCCCACTTTAGCGATCTTAGACGCAACATTAAGTCCGAATTCGTGTGTTTTCTTAATTCCCTGGAGGACCTTGTCTGCCGCATCAAACGCAATTCTGGCATAAAAGAAATAAGTATCACAGTTAAATTAAGGTATAAGAAAGTACGGAAGGTAAATCAGATAAGAAAAGCATAACCCATTGCTTATATGGGAGTCTACCTTTGTGTTAAAGTGAACTTTATTTGGTCTGGATATTTTTACATTATACCTATTAAAGGCCTCACATGAACTTTGGCTTATATTATAGTCTTACTTTACTCGAGTCTCTAGCCAAATTACTTGGCTAGAAGACCTGGCATGTGGACCACAGTGCACTAGTTATAACGATCATTCGGAGTAAAAAATAAATGTATGTGTTATTTTAAAAATCGTAATGAGAATATTTCATCAAATAAAATGTAAACGAATTTTGTGAGATATTTCAAGCTTTCGTCTAAAATTAAATCAACGGCTCCAAGAAAAATGGCGGATGTTCAACGACAACGACAAAAACTGGACAAGCATTTCTGACATAGCTGGCTGTAAATTCAAAGTAGCGATCTAAAAGACTTGAACTAATACACTGATCACTTCCTGTTTTTTTAAAGTTTTTGTGAGGTAATAAGACCAAAACTCGCAATTCAAATTGTAAAGTGAAAAAATGGCGGCTGGTTGATTTCAAATTTTATGATCACGACATGCCTCTTATGAGGCAGAACAAAACACAGGGATTTATGCATGGCATAAGGCTGCAATATAATTGACGCCTTATAATAAGGTAAGTCCTACTCAATGTTGTAAAAATGTGATATGAATTTTCTTATTTCTAAGGTGAAATGGAAAAAATCGTGAATTCATTTGAACCAACATTTAGGAGCCCATGCATTTATTTTACTTGATACATATATGATATATACCGAAGAGCAGGTATTATATCGACGAATAGATCCCGCAGCGCAGGGCTATGAAAAACGTTTTTGTACCCCAAACGATCGAAGGGAGTGATGGGTTCCAAAGCTTTTCTGCCTAGCCCTACAGTAAGATATGTATTACTTGGTGTACATGCCTGAATCCTGATCTGAGGTCTATATTACGATGCGACTCAAACATGACAACTCACAAAAATTTTGCAAAATCGTCACTTCATTTCCTACTTCCAGTTTAGCACTGGACGAAACACATAATATATTCTTCTTTTCAACCAACTTAGACAATCAACATTGATTTATTTTTAAAATGTTTGCATCCTAAATGACAATTCTTTTAATATGCTTAAACATTGATGAAATGGCACATTAGATATAACATTTTATTATTGAAATATTATGTCATTTAATCAATGTTCGCAATAGCCTTAAAGATACTATGTTTTGCACTGTATAATGGAATATTTTATGATTAAAAATCTCAACTTTTATTTAAAAAAATGGCGGAATTGTTGCGAAATAAAAAGCTTATAGTTGTTTCCCTCAATGTTTTCTAAAATCTTAAAAACTTTTAAAATTACGAAAAATAGTAAATGAATGATAAAAGCTTAAAGTAATAGTAAAAGAAATTGAAAGTCAGGATATTTTGTTCTAAAAATCAGAGTTCATTTTCTGGAAAATAGGAAATTTCTAAAACCCTGACAGAAAATCGTGGTTACTAAAAATGAAGGGATGTTGGAAGGTTACACATTATGCTAAACCACCAAACTTACGTCGACTGTTCTACTAGTTCTGCCGCCGCATTCATTGCAACCTTAGCTCCATCTAGTGAATCAGACAGCACTTTCATAGACTTCTCAAGTCCATCCAGAGTTTTCCTTGCCGCCTCAAATAGGATGTTATTGTCTTGTGCAATTTTCAATGCAACATCTACAGCTTTCTGCAAACCAGATATAGTCCCTTCCAACCCCTTCAATGTAAGTCTCAATCCCTAAAATCATTCAATTATAGAGTACTGGTGAATGCTAAAGAAGTCCACCAATATATTTAATTTGGCGTATGATTTGAATTAATGCCATATTCTCTCATTATATTATTTTTACCCTTACGCGTACTATGGGTGACCATTCCGTATTATTCGATTCGTTAACATAATTACGGAATAAAATTGACCATTTTATGAAAATTGGTGTCCTTATCCTACGGAAACGAAAATCATGTTTCACAGCAATTTCAATGAGTTCAAGATTCCAAGAGGCCAATTCCATATTAATACATGAACTTGCATCGAATCTTAAACCGTTGAAATCGTTCATTTAGAGATATACAGTAACGAACGACACCTTCTCAGTTTGTGTAGGACTAAAATACCTGACAGCAAGAAAACCTATGACAGATTTTCTCATTTTTTCACATTTTTGTGAATGGAAACAAAGAAGGTTGGGACTCTAACGGTTTTTTCATTCTTCTGTCCACAGATATGTATTATTTTGATGTCTATAGAGAGTACAGTCAATTCAATTCAGTCAATTGAGCGGCTCCCCGATCGAACTTGCTGTGAAAGATAATCTTCGTTTCTGTAGAATAAGGTCACCTAAACTGGTCGCTTTTATTCCGCATTAATCCTTATGTCTGCAGGGGAGGAGGTTAATCCGACCCCTCGATTTTTTCATACCAACATTATTGAAATCAGACAAGTAATAAAGAATCGTAGAGGTCATTTTTACCCCCCCCCCTTGCGATTTAGTGTTTTGAAAAGAAGGGCTGAGACATTAGTGTTAATGCAAACAAATCGAGTAATTAGGAATGGTCAACCAAGGTATGTGTAAAGGAATAAATACTATTGATTGCTCGCCTTAATATCTAAAATTGAACACTTCATATCGCTATTATTCTTCCTTAACTATTTTTTAAAATCCGTTGTTAATCGAATTGCAATTAGGTACGTACTGCCAATGGTGCAATACACAGAAGTCGAGCTGCGTCTTTTGCCTTGCAAACTCCAATTTCTCTGACATTTTCAGCGCCTTCTCTTACACGTTCTAATCTCAATTTCTCTGTTACTTCTCTTGCTCTCTCTTTTATCTTATCTAGTCTCGCTTTTTCTGCTATTTCTCTTGCTCTCTCTTTTATATTATCTAATCTTAATTTCTCTGCAACTTCTCTTGCTCTCTCCTTTATCTTATCTAGTCTCAATTTTTCAGTAGTCTCTCTGACACGTTCTCTTGCCGCATTTGCAGCTTCTCTTCCCCTTTCAGCGGCAACTTCACGAATTCTTTCTAATCTTACTTTTTCCGCCGCTTCTCTTGTTCTTTCCCTGATTTCTCTTGCCCTTTCTCTGACCACTCTCGCTGTAGCTTCTCTCCCCTTTTCAGCACGATATGCAACTTCTCTTGCCCTTTCACGAGCTATTCTACTTGTTGCTTCCCTTGTTCGTTCGACTCTGACGGCTGCTTCCCTTGTTCTCTCCCTCGCAATTGCAGCTGCCCTTAACGCGGCTTCTCTTGTTCTTTCCGCTGCATTAGCCGCTCTCCTAGCAGCCTCTCGTGTATTTTCTGCAGCACGTGATACCCATCTGCCAACTCTTCCCAAGAAACGTTTACGACGTAGAGGCACGTCGATTGCCTTTTTGACTGGCTGATGTTTCAAGCCATTAGCTATAAGAAAATATTCTACATTTATAATAAGCAGGTTTTTAATCTGTGAGTTAAGACAGTGGCTTGCTCTATTACTACAATCTATATTCTTCATGTAAGTCTATATGTATGAGCTAAATTTATGTTCATCACTATATCACATTCAGTATATAAGCAGGGGTTGAAACTCGTGGAGTATTTTTGTTTGAAAAGCAGGGATGTGTAGTGTTATTTGGTCTGGTAGTATGTGAACGTTTTGAAGGGTTTTCTTACTTGGCAATAAGCTCAGCACGTTCCGATTATTATAAATTGACAGTCATCCATCTAGTTTTTCTAGAATATGGGGTTTACCAAAGAAACGTTGTGATTTTGAACAAAAATTCTGTGGTTAACCCCACTTTGTTAAAAAACTAGAGTTTGGGTTTGCGTAATGAGCAAACTTGACAACGAATGTGATATACAGGGTGGTCAAAAAATGGAAACCCTGCATTTTCCTAATATCTTTGTCATTTTAAGGAATTACTCCCTGATATTTCACACATTTGTACATCATTCAATTTCCTACCATAGTCACAATTTTACAGCACTTTGAATAACATGCTGCAAGTTTGCCATCGTCGCGTTGTAGGCAAACCTGCACAGTTGTCAATGGGCCGAATGCATTCCTCAGCAGGTATGGCCTGAATGATACAGTTTATCTCACTTTTGAGGTTTGTGATTGTCCTGAGGTCATTCTCATACACCTTTCCCTTACCATATCCCTACAGATAGGGACATTTTGAACGGCAAGTGCAGGTGGCCCGACAGCGCAATAGTGGCCACTAGGGCATGTTCTGTAAAGTGCTGTAAGATTGTGACTATCAATCTGATTGTCATGAAATATAGTAGGCTGGTAGAAAATTGGATGATGTACAAATGTGCAAAATATCAGGGAGTTACTCCTTAAAATGACAAATATATGAGGAAAATGGTGTAAGGGTTTCCATTTCTTTGACCACCCTGTACTAGTATAGCGATGAAACCTGAGTCTAAACATGTAGTTGACCAATAGGCAATATCAATGTGAAGCAAAACACGACGTCTTTTCTGTACTTGACACGCTTAAGACGATTTGTGAATACTTGCCTACAATTGCACTAATGATGCGACTACTGGAGGAGCGCAAAAAACAATTGGATTCCGCTTTGCCGATCTTAACTTTTGCCAAGAGTGAGTTGTCTGTCGCACCTAAAAATCAACATTTGGATAATCTTAATTCACTTTTATCATACAACAACTTCAACGGATGATAAGGTCATAATGCACTTCATGTAAAAACGTGTACATATAGAACCACAATTCTGACAGTAGACAACTTAGACAAGAATACGAAATCAACATGGTCCCTGTATTATGTCCGTCCGTCTAATAAATGTCATCCTCCGAGCGTAGTTGTCCAAGTAATTCGTTAAAAATTTTGAATACAACTGTAATGTGCAAACTACCTGGATCTTCCCGCTTTGATTTTGTATCCTGGGGTGTCTCTGCCGCGTCCTCTTTCTTGAGTTTGATATCACTAAACCCAATACCTCGCCTTTCTGGAAAACAGTCATCATTTAATATTTGAAATTACATTTATGGATAAAACATGACAATATAATGTCATTATATAGCAACAACATAAATCAAACATTTAAAATCAGAAACCAAAATGTGATCGATGTGAACATTTTATTTATGGTTATGGTTTCTTCTAATTACGACTCTTCCATATATTTCTGGGCAGAGGATACAAAGAGGGATCACAGGAGCCACAGGCGCCACAATAGTATACAATGAAAAATTACGATTTACTTCTTCGTTTGCATCCTGATGGACAATTATCCTCAATATCTCTGATCTTCCCCCTGGTTTTGCTTAACTTTTCTTTTTGCGCTGTGAAAGCAGCAACTTTTTCCCGCCATGATTGTAGAGCAGCTTGATATTTCCTCTCAAGATCATTAACCTTCTGCTTTTGATCGCCAATCTTTTCCGCTTTATCATCCAACAAGTTCTGAATACGGTCGACCTAGAAACGGATTGCATATGGAAATACTAAGAAATGTTTAAAGGTAACACATGACGTTTAGCAAAGTGACCACTTGTCGTCGTTGTTACTCACCGTTTGTATGGAAGGCATGTATCTGGAAGAAAACTCAATTGTTCACAGGTTAAGGTTTAACGTTTAAAGACGTTTATGCAGCAATATAGTAATTCACCCTCTCAATGTTTACAGATGGTTCAGTTTCATCTTCAGTTAAACGATTTCAATAAACTAGAATTAACTTAATTCCCCTCATTGCTTTGAAATAGACTGGTGGTCTAGTAGACTTGTTTGAGCCGCCATATTGCTTCTATTCCTGAAGTTTTACGCAACCCCTTAAGTAAGGTATCGAAAATCATAATTGGCACTTAAAAATAGTGTCCCTCAATACATTGTATTTATAGATATCTCGGCAATATATATGTTCATTTCATAAACTAAAAATTAAACAATAAATCAAATAATTACTTGTTTCTATCATACCTCATCTGTTTTACTACGTAATTTATTGGCAGCCTCTTCAACTTTCTCATCAAGTTTATCAACAACTTCTTGGGCCTCTTCTACAGCTTTGGTCGACAAACCACTTATCTTACTAAGAGCATCCGTTACTTTGTTTTTCAGAAAATCCAGAAAGGTTTGTTTGAATTGGCCATCGACCATAAATTCAGAAGATGCAAGTGTTGAGTAACTACCTGTCAACCTTAGATGTGCTTCAAATAGACCCAATATGTTGCCATCAATTTCAAAATGAATACCCCTTGCGTCTATGGTAATGTTTATTGACGCACATATCTTAAGAACACAGACTCTACCATTGATATCAATCTTAGCACGGGGACGATTCCATCCGACATCCACAAAGAGTTCAGGACCTGATTTACCACCAGTGCCTTCAACCGTAATAAGACCTCTACCAATTTCAAGCCTATTGACAACTACAGATATGAAAATGCCATTAATGTCTATACGCATAACAGTTGATACCTTTAAAGCTAGAATTTGTAGGATTCCACGAAAACGTAGACCACTTGGGATGACAACACCATTTGGGAGCGTCCTCGATTGTATTGCATATGACATATTAAGTCCCTCTGGATAACCAATCTCATCAAGAGCTTTTGGAAGTGAGGGGAAAGAGCCGAATGCTGCTAGTATATCAGGAATAGTTAAGGAACTTATTGAGCCGAGAAAGTAATTTTGGGTCGGGGCATACTTATATAAGCCAATATACACAATGGCACGGAATGGACGAGCTTTTGGATTGTTGAACACACCGATCTCTGCGTTAGCCCCGACGCCTAGTTCTGATATTAAAGTAGGCTCTGGAGTAACACCCAGTCGTATGTGCAAATCGCATAACCTAACAATGGACAATAGGAATGTATTTTTCAAACATCCAGCCACGGCCAGCTCTGCTACCACACCGCCCGTTGTTGACACACCTATTGAGCCTATAAAAACAAGAGGTGGGTTCTCAACCTCCAAAGTAGCCATGAGTCCAATTTCAAATGTAGGGGCTCTTGCTTTAACTCTAAAACCAACATCAGATAACGTGAAGCCTTCAATAAGTTCTATTTCACTTGGTACTGTCACCTCAAGCTGAAGGAAGTTAATTGCAAGTCGACCTTTAAGAACAGCTGCAAAGCCTGATCCGAAGAACTTCTTCAGTACACCACAGAATTTATCAGAATAGCAGTTTTCGGGAATTTTAAGCTGCGCCATCAGGCTTATCCCTTTCATTATGGTTGTATCACTGAGCATCGGGAGTTTCGTAAATTTACGTTCACCACTGCCAATATTCGGAATATCATGTGTAGAAGTGATAAATCCAATTATACTGTCATCAAATATACGATGACCTACGAAGTTTACAGTATTTCCTGATAGTTTATCAACAACATCACTCAGTTTGGCTCTCTCAAGGACTACCCCCAAAGCCATCAGTATAGCCCCACTAGCCTGAACCCCAAGTACTTCAACCTTAGTGTTGTCCCAACTTCCTATAACTGCATTTCCCCAAACTCTAGCTCCAAAGTTACTACCAGTAATTACCTCGAAACACGGCTCTTCAATTGAAAATGTAGTGAGACCTATACTTCGTAGTTTATCCTCCAGACCATTTGGAAGGAACTGTCCAGCGAGTTTCGCCATTATTATCCCTACTTCTATAGGTTTCTCAGGACAAGCCGTGGCAATAAACTCATTAGCACCAGGGGGTTTTGATATTGACAAATCAACTGGATAGTCCTTTATGACCCAACGTCCCCTAACATCAAAGCTTAAAGTTTTAGGCGTCCCAAGACCAATAATGAATTCAACTTCCGGGTTTTCTATTTCGAACACATATTCAATGATTGTGATTTGATCGGGGAGTATAACGGGAATTGTGAGAGTATTTAGTTCCCCATCGTAACTCATACCCGATAGTGACTTATCAAGAAAGTCGACCAGGAAAAAGTTCGGTGGAAGCTCAACTTGTATAGTTCCAAGAAATAGATAGATAAGGTCTTTGACTGAAGTCTCGGAACCAGGTAGCACTTCAAAATGAATTGTTTTATTCGGCGGAGCTAGTCTTACCATAAAATTTGAGCTAAAAGCGTCGCCAACGCTTGCAGTAAAAAGCAAAGTTATGCCCTTGTATATGGAAGGTAGCAAAGCTAACACCTCCGATTCAGAGTTATACGAAACTATCGGTGATGTAACATTATCTGATGCCACTATTACTGCCATTTCGGGGAAGTGTAAGCTACCGATAACAGGGACTTTAGAAATATCAAGACTTAAAAGATGCAAAACAACTGCAGAAAGTCTTATGTCTTTAAAGAGAACGGTCATTGATAACGTATTTTCAAAGTCCCCTTCATCTCCCTTTACACGATTGAAGTTTAACATAATGTCAAGCGTTCCCAATCCTGATACATCTGATGTAAATGTAAACTGAATCCCGATGCTGCTGGAATTAGGAGATTTAACGATCAGCTGTGGGTTACTTATAACAATACGATCAAGGTTCAAATCATCAAACAAGTTTGCAACACTGGAACTGTCACCTGGAACCAAGGCTTCTGACAGACCACCCAACAGAGTATCCATCGAGACAGTTTGAGTGGTTGGAGTTGCAACTATCTCATACTGATTAGCATTAGCAACCGTAGCGGCAACATTAAATGTTACACCGGCGATTGACCACACGGCATTAAACGAAACTGATATTGCCTCAGTGGGAACGATAATAGATGCATCTATTGTCAAGTCAGTCACGCTTAGAAATGACGGAATAATAGTTATGACATCATCAGTTAGATCTGATGCTGAGAGAGAAATATTCTCCTGACAAACATCAACAACAACTTGGTTTAACGTGAGCGATGACAACGGAGTTGGACTCTCTCCAATTGATCCAATCTGCAGAGCAGAGTCAAGACCATTAAAGTTACCAAAAACCTGTTTAATAATCATATCGACACCCAGGCAATTTTCTGGAATCGGATTCACGAATACAAAACAACCTTCAAAAACAATTCTGGCACTACACGTATCGGTGATTTTGATTGTTTCTGTAAATGGCTGACGTGGAAGTGCGAGAATTTCATTTAGTGTTGGCAAACCATCTGCAATAAAAAAGTGTTATTTTTACCAGCTTACAGCAATGTATACAATCTACTTGTAAATGTGGAAGTTAAAAACATCTGAATAAACACGTTTGTTACAATAATTGAATAGAATATTGCATTTACAGCCATTAACATTAACTGTGATAGATTTATTGTTATCAAATATATTGTTTTCATATTTGTATGTTTGGTTTCCTGTTTTTGTAGAGACGATCACTTAATACGACTTACACTTACAGTGTACCACTCGCTTACGATGTTTGTCATTACCCGTTTGTAAAATGTTTATTGTTCTTACCAAATACAAGTGAAGCCATTGTCGATTCTCTATTTAGATTAGAAGTGATGATTTCAGTTGTTTCAATACCGCTCTCTTCAGTTGTTTCAATACCACTTGGTTCAGGTGTAACAACCCTAGCTTCTGTTGTTACAATACCACTTGGTTGGGTTGTATCAACACTCGCTGTGGTTGTTTCAATACCACTTGGTATTTCAATACCACTTGGTTCAGTTGCAACACCACTCGCTTCACTTGTTTCAATACCACTCGGTTCAGTTGTACCACCACCCTCTTCTGTTGCTTCAATACCACTTGGTTCAGTTGTATCAACACTCCGTTCTGTTGTTTCAATACCACTCTTTTCTGTTATTTCAATGGAAGTTGGTTCAGTTGTACCAACACTCTCTTCTGTTGTTTCAATACCACCCCCTTCTATTATTTCAATACCACTTGGTTCAGTTGTACCAACACCCTCTTCTGTTGTTTCAATACCACCCCCTTCTATTATTTCAATACCACTTGGTTCAGTTGTACCAACACCCTCTTCTGTTGCTTGAATACCACTCTCTTTTGTCGTTTCAATACCACTTGGTCCAGTTGTATCAACATCCTCTTCTGTTATTTCAGTACCTCTCGGTTCAGTTGTACCAATAACCTCTTCTGTTATTTCAATAGAACTTGGTTCAGTTGTACCAACAACCTCTTCTGTTATTTCAATATCACTTGGTTCAGTTGTACCAACAACCTCTTCTGTTATTTCAATATCACTTGGTTCAGTTGTACCAACACCCTCTTCTGTTGCTTCAATACCACTCTCTTTTGTCGTTTCAATACCACTTGGTTCAGTTGTAACAACACTCCGTTCTGTTGTTTCAACGTCACTCTTTTGATTTGCTACACTAACACTCACATTGGTTGTTTCGACCTGAGGCGTTGTCACTGTCCAGTATTAGAAAAAACACATGTCAACTCATATAATTAAACTCTCTTGTGCATGTTGTGTCATTTTCGAATCGACATCCCAGTCAATCATTCATTTAAAATACGTATCAATAGTTTTACCTTTATAACGGTTTGCCAATGTAGTCACAATGGTATCTAATTTCTTCAGGGCTGTTCTTTTATTTTTGCTCGACAATTTTGGTAGAATGTTTTCGGTTTGAACTGCTATATCTCTAAGATATTTGAAGCCTTGCCTCGTGTCGTTTGCCAAGTCCTTTACTTGAATTATTCTGTATGATTTGCTCTAAATACAGTATACGCAATGGTATTAATTTGCGTAAGTCTGCTTGATAATAGGGACTTTATGATTTGCGTAAATAGCCTATTTACGTATACCTATACGTACAGGGTGATCCCAAAAAATGGGACACTCGTATTTCAAAAATAAACATTGATTTTATTGACGAAAACATGTCATATTATATATCAGTGGATAGGGAATTTACTTTTCTGTAATTTGGTATATCATAAGTTCAAATTTATTATAATACATGTCAACCAGCGTCCATAATAATAATGACGTCATTTTCATTTCAAACAGGTTTTCAAAAACTTGCAAAAAACAAGTTTTTTGTCAACAGAAACAGATGTTCAATATGTCCACCATTTTGATCAATTATAACCCTCAATATGGGCCTAAACTGATAAGCAGCATCATTGATATGCTGTTGAGACAATGAATTCCATTTCTCAACAATTCTGTCCTTTAGGGACTGAATAGAGGTAAGGAGTTCATGATGGTTCGCCCCATACGTGGTAGTCGAATCAGGTGATTTAGGGGGGGGGGATTAGGGGGTATGAATTGAGGCACATTCTCCTTTATATATTTTACTGTCTTGTGGGATCTATGGCCTGGAGTCCCATCAGGAATAATCAGGAATAAGTCCTCTCTGCAGGACATATTGATTCATCCCCCTTAATAACTGCCCATCCAACCAGATCACCCGATGCTAACTTCTGCGACTACCACGTATGAGGAGAACTAACATAGTTGGTGTACCATGAACCCTTACATCTATTCAGTCCCTAAAGAACAGAATTTATGGGAAGTGTAGTTTATTACATGTATTTCAAAAGCATATCAATGATAATATCAAAAAGTTTATGCCAAAATTGAGCGCTATGATTTATCAGAATGGTTTGTTTATGTTGACAAAAAAAAACTTAGATTTAGTTTTTGAAAAACCGTTTTGAAACGAAAATGACATCATTTGTATTGTGGACGCTGGCTGACAGGCATTATAATAAATTTAAATTTATGATATACCAAATTAAAGATAAGTAAATTCCCTATCCAATGGTATATAATATGATATGTTTTTATCAATGATATCAATATTTATTTTTGAAATATGAGTGTCCCATTTTTGGACCACCCTGTACACTAGTTTGTTATTGCACTCAGGGCTATTTTACCTTAGTTACAACGTATGCTATACGTATGCTATACGTATGCGTAATTTCCTAAAAATGGCCAAATGTAACTAAGGGTAGAACCTATTGTACTAGAGATATGTTTTTATTCAACAAATTATGTCTTTTACAGATCAAATATCATACTTTTATGATTAGTGACACTAAACATTTATCATTCGGTATTGATAGAAATAACAAACATACGGATACGGATAGGTAAACGTCTATATTACCGCTAATTTTAAACTCCCCAATCACAACCAATTCCTCAACGATTCATTCAAGTAACAAAAAGATTGTGTCTGTCATTGACAAAAACGATTTGAAGATTACTTATTGTTGTCACAATTAAAAAAAAATTAGACTACAGAATTGCCAAATCCAAGTCAAAGTATACCATGCTGTGACTATTGTCGTGCAGTTAATTACTCTGTTTTGTTTTAAATAAAGTCAGGGCTTAACATAGAATCTACCTTTATGTATGTCAACATTGGACCAACGGTCCTTTTCCAAGTGGTCATCTTTTTATTCCATCTATTTTTGGTAAACTTTGAAATACGCTTAAGATCTTCTCCTAGTACGTATGCCATTGCTTCAATTTGTTCAAGCACTTGTTCTTTGCTCAATTTGCCCTGATCTTCTTCTGGTTTCACCGTTCCTGCAAATGAAAATCAAAGAATTTAATAAACCGAAATCATCCCTGATTTACACATACATGTACGTTTCCTTATATAGTCATTGCAAAAAGGGGTCTCATTGGGCTCTTTTGGATATGGTGTTAACCTCAGTTACATCTTTTTACATTATTTATTTATTATACAAATATTACTACATTTTCAACATGTTTCGGGTAGCTAGGGAATTGTGATGTTTGAATCTGAACTTTGTTCCTGATCGATTCCAACGGTTTGGAAATTTATCAAAATGTTTAAATCCTCAAATGTAGATATACTATATCTAGTGTACGGCTTTTTCAAGTGGACACATTAACAAGTCCAAATTGTCCAAATTTTGGACTTGTTGTCAAACGTTTGGAGCAGGATGAATAGTAATCGTCAGTTTTTTTCTTTTGCAAAACATACGTCAGATATTTTCTAGTCAAATTGCTATAAACAATACCCTATACATGTATCAGGGTTATATTTTGATTTGATGTATTCAAAGCTAACATGTTTTGTCATAATATTATTGCTGTATCACGTTAAATACCTGTTTCATTATGTGTGGTGTACCACGTAAACAACTCTATTGCAGATTTAAGGATCTCCGTAACGACTGCAATTTCCTTCTTTTTAGTTTTACTGTTTCTCAAACGCAAAAGCTCGCCAAGTGTCTCATTTGCAATTGTTGACACGCCGGTAAATGTGTCCCGTGTGGTTTGGTCGCCAGCAAATTGCGAAAACGCTGTTCCCTTTTTCTGTTTTAGTAAAGGAAACAATGAAATAATGGAATGGTCTTGATTTTGAATTGACTAAAATATGATTATTGTAGTTTACGAATACAATGTCCTTTTTTAAATAAGATGTCTATGTAATGTGGAAGAGGATTGTTTAGGTAATTTACCTTGATATATTGTAAAAGTGGCATCACAAAACCCATTTGTGCTTCCAAGGCGGCCTTGGAAGTTTTCTTAGGATACTTCGGTTTGATTATTTTTTCATAAAATATATTCCCAAGAATATCAAGTTCGGCTTCTACACGTTCAATCACTGGTAGGAATTCCTGTATCTTGGAGCCTACGGTTGGATCTGGAGAAATGAAAGCTTAAACGTATATTTATGCGTTTTACACAACATTGCTTTTTGGGTAAGTCGAACGGGCATATCAAAATGATTTGAGCGACCAATAGTGATTTATCATCATTGCATTACCAAATACGTTAATTCCGATAATTTTGACGCACAACGATAATTCGCGCTTTTCGCGAGTTTTGGATAATTCGTAAAACATAATTATAGCGAAATTCCAATCTAATTCGCGAAATATTATATTCACGAAATTCCCAAAATATCACTCATTGTTGATGATGTTGAAGTTCAGACGGCAATTCCCCAGACAAATACACCGAAAAATCTAAAGGCTTTCAGATAGCAAAGATGCAGCAGGCTTATTTGTATGGTTATGCATCGGCATGTGCGAAAAAACACATCAATGAATTGTTGTTACACTGTATTTAGTTAATGATTTTTTGGGGAATCACCAAATTAAGGTTAAGCTGGATAAATTTTGAGAAGTCACAAATCTGCCAATTTCCGTAAAACTGAAAAGTAATGGCTGTGATTCGAAATCATAAAAATGTAAAATATGCGTCGAATATTAGTGCGTGGGTGTAGCATTAAAATGTCGGTACTATCACTTTTTCTAAAGCAAATTATTCAGTAATACAATCAAATGAATATAAAGGCATTACATACGTTTTACATTTTGAAATGACATCGATTTGCAATCAAAAATTAGGATTTTTTTTAAAATCTATAGATTTGACTTAATTTACTCAGATCAATGACTACCTATAGAGCCACTTGCAATGTCTCCTTTGCTCCATATTAGCAAAACTGTCAGCAAGGAGATCCACTCTAAATAAGAAAAATATATGAATAGAAATATTCTACATGGTGTTGACATCGAACAAGTTTAAATAATGGTTGCATGTAATATGTACCAATATTAACTATGTACAAATGACAAAATTGTTAAATGGCTGCTAAAAGTATTGCCTCCGAGAGCGTAAAACGATAAAAAACATGCAGTTCAAAAAGGTTTGCGATTTTTTTTATCAAAATGACTCATTTCTTTTAAAGGCAAGGTTTTTCACGAAGCATTGAATAGTATTATCATAATGCGTCCAAACTTGTTTTTGAGAGAATATACGCTACTGTACAAAGATTTGTTTGATTTGTGGCAATTTTCAAAAAGTTGCACTTATTCGTTATTTTTCTTTCAATGAATTTTTGAATAATTACCCAGAATTGACATTTTCTCCAATCCAATTCAACTAGGATTATTCTGAACTTTATTGGCCTCTGCGAAAACTGCTTTTCGTATTTAAAAACACCTCTACTCCAAATTGGCAAATTGGTCTCCAATGACAATTGTTGAGTTTGGTTCGTCCGTCCCGCTGCATCGACTTGAAGTGAGTACCCGTTATTAATGATATGATTCTTGTAATGAATACATGACACTGCATGTTTGCTGTTATCATAATCCAAATAATGTTAAATGCCACGGTAAATGGAAATGAAAATTAGTTCAATGAATAGTTGATAAAACTTGTTTTCATGTTTTAATTGAACTAAAACAGCATGACTAAGCAATGGCAAATCAGAGGAGGTAGGTTCCCATGATTCCTTGATTTAACTTCATTGTCATAAGGCTGTTAATGATAACTATTACTGACGAGTAAATGTGCTCAGCTGAAGTATGTAACTAAATATGAAGCATTGACGAGGGTTCCTAAAAATTGACATTACCCTTATAACTGTCTTTCTTAAAACGAAATTACAAGTCGCAATGAGACTCATTTGTGAAACAAGCAACACTTTAGTTTGAGCGTTAATTAAAATCGAATTCAGTATATCTAAGGATGGCTTGGAAGTGTGCCTTTCTCGACCAATTTCAATCATTTCAGGCACAGAATGATGGGTGCACGTTGACTCCTTTGAGTTGCACCTTTGATTAGTTTAATTTATTTATCCCTAGATTTGTAATTAAACCTTGATAATACATGTCACAATGACGTGTCAATAGCTATACGCTTTTTATAATTTTATTAGTATATTATAACTAACAACAATTCCCCGAGTCACAATTTCACATTACCTTGAATGTTTACTAAAACACACGAGCAAAAAACAACATGTCACGTCGTTCACATTTCGATGCACGATCTATCAACTTGACTTCTGCGTATGAATGCATGCATCTTCAGTAAACATTGCCCCATCAACGTACCCATTTCGGCAACCAAGCATACAATATCTCACAACCGTATTTACAATGATAATAGGGAGGTTAAACAACTCGTTTTAAGAGAACTGGTACGTGACTATTAGGAATTATGGTCCTCTAGAGGTTAGTTCTCCCCATTCGCAGTATGTACTTGCCTATTTTAGAACAATCAATAAAAGTTGTAATTGGGTCCCCGGAAATGGAAATGGGACAGTCATCCCTGGCCCAGGGAGCACATACAAATTTTCTAAAAAACGTGTAGCTGGTTAGCCTCGCTACCAATGATAAAGGTAATTTTTGCATTAATGTGATATAAAGATGTCGCTTTTATCGAATAAAGAGGTTCAGTGTAGGTAAGTCTAAGACGATTAGGCCTACTGTATGTGTGATTATGAAGTGTTTCATCGTGTATTATTCGATTAATTATAGATAATTATAGCTTTCTAGATCTCATCAAGAAATTGACTCAACCAGGCCTTCTCATCTTAAAGAATTAATTTTTTGAGAGAATGAGAGCAATTTGCAAATTAAATGCTAGTGTACATGATTATAGGATAACTTATAACGTTTACATGTAAAAAGTGTTAACGTAAATACCGCCTTGAATGGTCTTCGAGTTGAGACTTTTCAATTTCTTAAAAAACTCCGAACTACGAATTTTTTTCTTCGGATTGTTTTCTACACTGAACAAGAGAAAAGAAATCACTAGCAACAATTAGTAAAGAGTCTTAATTTAGTAGAAACAAACACGCCTTATAATTTAATCAAGTCGATAGGAAGAAGGTAGGCTACATTTAGGGCAACGGACATTACTAGCATAGTCAGCGGATATAATGAAAAGTAAATCCAATCAAGGATTACTCTTATTGAATTGAACTAGAAAAAATAATTGGGTATGGCCTACCTGCCAAATCTCGATTTAAATCGGGAACAATCTCGATTTGAATCCGGAAAAATCCCGATTTTTTGGTGCTTATCCAGGTTTTTTACTCAAACATCAATGTCAAAAACGCTGATCTTAATGAATTAAAATTCCAGATTTATTAGCGAGAGATCCACATTTGCTTCAATCTTTAGTACCGGCCGATTGGTCTATTTTATTCAAAATCGCATTCAGTTTTGAGCAAAGTACTTATCAGCCGGAGGCCGGTGTTGAACATCAGAGCAAATGGTCACCACGACATAAACGAGATACTATCCCTAGTTTTCATCGAAAAACTCCTGATTTTAAACGAAATACTATCTCGACTTCTTGTTTAAAACTACCATTTGTTGAAGAGACACCATGATCTTTCATGGAAACTCCAGATTCTTTCCAATCATCTGTTGCTGTTGTCATTGCATAACCGTGGTCACATTTACCCGGATCGCGGCAGATGAGAATTTTCCTAAAAGCCCGAATGGAATTTTGAACAAAACACTGAAAATCGGAGCAAATGTGACCACGGAGTTAGTCCCCTACGTATGCATTATGCATTTATTGACTATAGAGACGAAAACAAAATAAGTATAAAAATTTGATGCATATAGTCAAAGAACATTTGAAATTACAAGTTGAAATAGTATCTAGATACAACAATCCCAAAGCTATCCATGATGTATCCGACTCTAGCCAATCAGAACACGGTATTTAAAAAATGACTCAATGAATTAATGCACTCGGGTCTTGTATCACGGCCTTTAAATTCGGATTACCGATTGAAAGTCTTGATACAAGACATTCGTGATTAATTCATCCAGAATTCACCGAGCCTTATACTGGATTATAACCATAACTTTTTTACTTGTATGTAGACAAGAAACATACTAAACGAATTTGAAACCTTTCCCAAAGGAACATTAAAAATACTTATTGCAATTAGTTAATTCAAAGATGCATTTGTACTGCACAATTTTACTGTATGGAGGTACATGTAAACACATGAAGGAAAATGTTATACCTTTATTATAAAATCCGCACTTAATCGTTTACAGAACAAGTTGTTTGCACAATTTAACCTTGTTGTGATAAACGATGGTGGAAAGTATGTTTGATCAAAGATGACATATGGAAATGAAATAACCTAATATACTCAAAGCCTGTCTAATGTGGTATGATACAGCCATCTTGGCTACTTACATATACCAGGGCATTTAAGTTTAGCGTATAACTTTACATAATGTTTTCCCTGTTATGTAAACAAAGTGGGTTCTTATGATCTAGTTGGGATTAACCCAGATCATAACAGCTCGAAGATGGTCTTTGATGGATAGGTTATTTACATACAGGCATTTAAACAGCTTCTAACACTTGTGTCTAGAGAGCTTTTCTCCCTTTAATTCCACGATATCAACAACAAAGTGGTCGAACAAGAGCCCGGGAACAAGAGCTCCAAGAACAAAACAAGAGGATTTGAATTCACCATAATTTACATGGCAACTCTTGAACCAACTACAATCGTGTATTTACTTTTTCTCCTCACGTTTTTTCGACACATCTCTCACTAAATAGAGTGAAGCGAGTATCATAACTTTGAAGTTGGAAATTACATTTTGTTAAATTGCTTTTAAAAGTCGTTGACATATGGGGCAATCAGATTGCAGAAAACTACACAAATTGGCCATTACATTCAATCTTCTCTTATCATAGAGACACAGGCCCAGGAAGATTTAAATCCCCCACCCCCAGTCACTGTATAGTTTTTTTTACCTAATACATAGATGAATAGAGTTACGCTGTTGTTGTGACACTGTCTACTAATGGAGCCATTTGTTCAATGCAATTACATTAATGGAAGCACCTAGAAGTTTTAAATGACCTGTACGTTAGAAGTTGTAATTGACCCGTACATTATACAATTATTGTGTAGACCGATTGCGAGGTCAAATGAGGACTTGCCTACCCGGAATATGAATTAAATACCATTACGTGTCAAGTAATAAATAAATAAAAACCTGGATACTTTTTCAAAAATTTGCGAAAAATCGTGGTTGTGTGAAAAAGAATTGAAGTGATAATCGAGGAAAAATAAAAATCGAGAGAAAATCGAAGTTTCTTGAAAAAATCGGGGTTTCCATGTTAGGAGAAAAACCGAGGTTCGAAAAATCGGAAGGAAATATGGATTGCTTAATTAAAATAATTGGGTCTGAAATCAGGATTTACAAAATCAGGAGTCCTTAACGAATATTCGGGATGTCTCGTTAAAAATCAGGAACTTCTAACTAAAAAACAGGAGATTATAAGAGCAAATTAAGAGCAAATCTGAGTAAGCACTAAAAATCGGGAGAAAATCTGGACTTGACAATGTAAATTGTGCAATTTCAACTGCAAAGGTTCCGAGGTTCCTGCCTAATATTTGATCGTCCACTCTTGAAAAGTTTTGTTGATATATTTTGAGCAAGCGAATCAATAATAATTGTTGAACTTTCCATGATCGAGTTTACGATAATATGATTTATATATATTCTGCTATATTCAAAGCAACGGTATTAAATTGTCACGTTGCTTTTGAAAAGAATTGATACCGTCAGAGAATTTCAACTTGAATGTGCGAACTAAGAAAAGGTAGCTAAATCTCTGTTGGCCAGAAGAGTTATAAAACGTATAATTGATCCACATCTGAATGCCAAATGAAAGAACTAAAGAAGAAAATAAACTCCCCTTCATGTGTTTGGAAACCGGAAGTATTGACAGCGTGTTACGGCCTGTTTATGTCTGGCTTTTTATTTCGTTCCATTAATATCATAGTTTGGAAATCCATGACAAGTTTGATGATTTTTAAAAAATCGCCTAAGATTGATATGCTAACATGTGATCCAAAAATGAACTTCCAGTTGCAATATTTATGGAGTAGAGTGAATAATTGAAATGTATGTTACATTCAGCAGTTTGTTGAAGATGCGGTTGCATGCTTTTAAAAATGCTCAATTAGACTAGTCGATTAAGATGTACTTGGTGAAATGCGGACCTCTCGATGTCACGCATACTGGCATTCAGTGGAGAACTACATCGCGTTTTATAGAAAATAACAAAGTGCAGAAATCAATGAGCATCATTAGAATGCAACTAGAAGTACATCTACGACATACTCTCAA